GCCGTGTTTCTGGCCTTAAAACACTTTCTCCCAGATCTAAGGGGCCATCATGTTTTAGTCTGCACGAACAACACATTGGTGGTCGCTTACATCAACCAGCAGGGGGGTCTGAAGTCTCGAATGCTATGCAAACTAGCACATCGGATCCTCCTGTGGGCCCAGAACAAAATCCTGTCCATCAGGGCAATGTATGTCCCGGGCCATCTGAACATGGGAGCAGATCTCCTGTCGAGGCAGGGGGTGAGATCCAGGGAATGGAAACTTCTTCACCCCGAGGTGGTGGAGTCCACTTGGGAAAGATTAAGGAAAGCGCAGGTAGACCTGTTTGCTTCCCAAGAGACCACGCATTGCGTACTATGGTTTTCTCTCTCGCATCCAGCCCCTCTGTGACTGGTTGCCATGGTTCAGACATAGCCGAGGCTACGTCTGTATGCTTTTCCCCCGATCGCTCTGCTCCCAGGAGTCCTGGAGAGGGTCCGTCAAGACTGAGTACAGTTACTGCTGGTAGCCCCGGTTTGGCCTACCAGGATTTGGTTTTCGGACCTCATAGCCCTGCTGGCGGGTCTCCCGTGGGAGATCTCCATCAGGAGGGACCTTCTGTCCCAGGCGGGAGGAATGATACTTCATCCCCTACCCGACCTGTGGAAACTGTGGGTGTGGCCTCTGAGGGGGCCCACCTCATAGAGTATGGACTGTCAACCGAGGTTGCTCAGACCATTCTAAGCTCCAGGGCTCCCTCCACAAGGAAGCTTTATGCCCTAAAATGGGCTCTCTTTTCAGCTTGGTGCAGAGAACACCAGCTGAACCCAGTCAGCTGCCAGGTAGCCTCAGTGCTGGAATTTCTCCAAGATCGCCTGTCTGCTGGGTTAGCTGCATCCACTCTGAGAGTGTACGTGTCAGCTATAGCGGCCTACCGTTCTCCCCTAGATGATGAGTCACTAGGACAGGATCCGCTAATTCGTCGCTTCCTTCGTGGAGCCATAAGGCTAAGGCCTGTCAGCACACACAGGGTACCGACATGGGATTTAACATTGGTGCTCGAGGGCATCTCTGTTCCCCCATTTGAGCCACTGCAGGAGGCGTCAGATAAGTTTCTGACACTAAAAACGGCTTTCTTATTGGCTATTTCTTCCTTAAAAAGGGTTGGTGACCTCCAGGCTTTGTCGGTTGCACCTTCATTTCTGGAGTTTGCTCCAGGCATGTCCAAAGCCTTTCTTTATCCCAGACCGGGGTACGTGCCTAAGGTGCCCACTCATGTGGCGAGACCTGCTGTGCTACAGGCCTTTCACCCGCCCCCATTTCAGTCGTCGGACCAAGAGAAGTTAAACTTACTCTGCCCAGTTAGAGCTCTGAATACATATGTTAACCGGGTTATCAACTGGAGAAAGAGTGAACAGTTACTGGTCTGCTTCGGACCCTCAAAAAGGGGGAGTCCGGCAAATAAGCAGACAATAAGTAATTGGATAGTTGAGACTATCTCATTTACCTATCAGGCTGCTGGACGCCCTGTACCTAAATTTGTTAAGGCCCACTCCACAAGGGCTGTCGGGGCCTCCAAAGCTATTATTCTATTTCGGGCTCAGCCCTTTCTGACATTTGTTTGGCGGCAGGATGGTCGACTCCACATACATTTGTGCGTCACTATCAACTCGATGTAGACCCCTCACCAGGGTCCTCTATTCTCACTGCGTAGTGTGCGTTCACAGTCAGCAGTGAGTCTGGCCTAGTGGGTATTGCGTTCCCCTAGCGTTCTGGTTAGACGCAGTGTTGAAGTTCCCTAGAAGGGGAACGTCTCGGGTTACGTATGTAACCATAGTTCCCCGAGAGGGAACGAGACACTGCGTATTCCGCCATACTCTCTTCTGCCTGTTACTTCTTTCAAGCAAATTCGAAGTTGATACTGAATGCTCAGTACAGGCTTTTATACTCTCTGGTCTGACGACACCTGCTTAATTACATTAGATTGATTTCACATGTGCTTCAAGACGCGTATAAAAGAGGTGTTCCCCTAGCGTTCTGGTTAGACGCAGTGTCTCGTTCCCTCTCGAAAACTATGGTTACATACGTAACCCGAGACGTTCTTTTTGTTTTAGACAACATTTCATGCACTATTAAACATGTTAAAGCAAGTTGCAAGTTAAAACTTGTGTCTCTGACTGAGTTTGCATTACTGCTTATTTTGACCTCTCTGCTGGCTGGGAAAAGCTCAATTTAAGTCTAATGCACCAAGTGATAAAAACCGCTTCAGCCACTAAAAAGCATCATTCTTTTTGTTTTAGACAACATTTCATGCACTATTAAACATGTTAAAGCAAGTTGCAAGTTAAAACTTGTGTCTCTGACTGAGTTTACATTACTGCTTATTTTGACCTCTCTACTGGCTGGGAAAAGCTCATTTTGACATCTAACGCAGCAAGTGATGAAAACAGCTTCAGCCACTAAAAAGCATCAATCTTTTTGTTTAAGACAATATTTCATGCACTATTAAACATGTTAAAGCAAGTTGCAAGTTAAAACTTGTGTCTCTGACTGAGTTTGCATTACTGCTTATTTTGACCTCTCTGCTGGCTGAGAAAAGCTCATTTTCACCGTCCAATACAGACAGTGATAAAAACAGATCCAGCCACTAAAATGCATCATTCTTTTTGTTTTAGACAACATTTCATGCACTGTTAAACATGTTAAAGCAAGTTGCAAGTGAAAATCTGTCTCTGACTGAGTTTGCATTACTGCTTATTTTGACCTCTGCTGGCTGAGAAAAGCTCATTTTCAACGTTCAATACAAGAAGTGATAAAAACAGATCCAGCCACTAATAATCATTGTCTTTTTGTTTTAGACAACATTTCATGCACTGTTAACTATGTTTAAGCAAGTTGCAAGTGAAAATCTATGTCTCTGACTGAGTTTGCATTACTGCTTATTTTGTCCTCTGCTGGCTGAGAAAAGCTTATTTTTAACGTTCAATACAGAAAGTGATAAAAACAGATCCAGCCACTATAAATCATTTTCTTTTTGTTTTAGACAACATTTCATGCACTGTTAACTATGTTTAAGCAAGTTGCAAGTTAAAATCTATGTCTCTGACTGAGTTTGCATTACTGCTTATTTTGACCTCTCTGCTGGCTGTGAAAAGCTCATTTTCAACGTTCAATTCAGAATGTGATAAAACAGATCCAGCCACTAAAAAGCAATTTCTTTTTGTTTTAGACAACATTTCATGCACTGTTAAATATGTTTAAGCAAGTTGCAAGTGAAAATCTATGTCTCTGACTGAGTTTACATTACTGCTTATTTTGACCTCTGCTGGCTGAAAAAAAACTCATTTTCAACGTTTAATACAGAATGTGATAAAAACAGATCCAGGCACTAAAATTTTTACTTTTTTTTTGTTTTAAACAACATTTCATGCACTGTTAACTGTTTAAGCAAGTTGCAAGTGAAAATCTATGTCTCTGACTGAGTTTGCATTACTGCTTATTTTGACCTCTGCTGGCTGAAAAAAACTCATTTTCAACGTTTAATACAGAATGTGATAAAAACAGATCCAGGCACTAAAATTTTTACTTTTTTGTGTTTTAAAAAACATTTCATGCACTGTTAACTGTTTAAGCAAGTTGCAAGTGAAAATCTATGTTTCTGACTGAGTTTGCATTACTGCTTATTTTGTCCTCTGCTGGCTGAGAAAAGCTCATTTTCAACGTTTAATATAGAATGTGATAAAACCAGATCCAGCCACTAAAATGCATCATTCTTTTTGTTTTAGACATTTTATGCACTGTTAAACATGTTAAAGCAAGTTGCAAGTGAAAATCTATGTCTCTGACTGAGTTTGCATTACTGCTTATTTTAACCTCTGCTGGCTGAGAAAAGCTCATTTTCAACGCCCAATACAGAATGTGATAAAACCAGATCCAGCCACTAAAAAGCATTTTCTTTTTGTTTTAGACAACATTTCATGCACTGTTAAATATGTTTAAGCAAGTTGCAAGTGAAAATCTATGTCTCTGACTGAGTTTGCATTACTGCTTATTTTGTCCTCTGCTGGCTGAGAAAAGCTTATTTTTAACGTTCAATACAGAAAGTGATAAAAACAGATCCAGCCACTATAAATCATTTTTTTTTTTGTTTTAGACAACATTTCATGCACTGTTAACTATGTTTAAGCAAGTTGCAAGTTAAAATCTATGTCTCTGACTGAGTTTGCATTACTGCTTATTTTGACCTCTCTGCTGGCTGTGAAAAGCTCATTTTCAACGTTCAATTCAGAATGTGATAAAACAGATCCAGCCACTAAAAAGCAATTTCTTTTTGTTTTAGACAACATTTCATGCACTGTTAAATATGTTTAAGCAAGTTGCAAGTGAAAATCTATGTCTCTGACTGAGTTTACATTACTGCTTATTTTGACCTCTGCTGGCTGAAAAAAACTCATTTTCAACGTTTAATACAGAATGTGATAAAAACAGATCCAGGCACTAAAATTTTTACTTTTTTTTTTGTTTTAAACAACATTTCATGCACTGTTAACTGTTTAAGCAAGTTGCAAGTGAAAATCTATGTCTCTGACTGAGTTTGCATTACTGCTTATTTTGACCTCTGCTGGCTGAAAAAAACTCATTTTCAACGTTTAATACAGAATGTGATAAAAACAGATCCAGGCACTAAAATTTTTACTTTTTTGTGTTTTAAAAAACATTTCATGCACTGTTAACTGTTTAAGCAAGTTGCAAGTGAAAATCTATGTTTCTGACTGAGTTTGCATTACTGCTTATTTTGTCCTCTGCTGGCTGAGAAAAGCTCATTTTCAACGTTTAATATAGAATGTGATAAAACCAGATCCAGCCACTAAAATGCATCATTCTTTTTGTTTTAGACATTTCATGCACTGTTAAACATGTTAAAGCAAGTTGCAAGTGAAAATCTATGTCTCTGACTGTAGTGGCAATTTCCTTTAAGGAGGCGCTCTCGGTGGTCAAGAAACAAAGTCTTACCCGGGATGTCTTTTCAAAGCTTTTATTCTTTGCAAAGAAGGTCACAGTCATACAGCAACAACAGTTTCTGCAGAGTGAGACAATGAAGCAAAGTGTGCTCATCCTTTTATCTGGGTTGTGCTGCTTACGAGGTCAACTCCAGTTCAACCCAAACCACACATACCACGACAGGTGTGAAAACCATCCTGCTGCTTCCCTGTCATATATCACACAGCCCATGCCCCTTACCCCTAACAAATGTTCATCTTAAAGCCTAATTGGAAAGATAAGGACCAGGTGGTCACATACGGGAATGTAAGGCTGTATAAACAAAAGTACACTGTGAACACAAGTGACTTTTCACACATCTAAAGATGAGGAGTAAGCAAGTTTTCCCTACACATGTTCATCTAAAAATGAATTTCCATTACAATTCCTCTCTTTTTATCATTCATTGATAACTCACTATTAAATTCATTTTTCAATTGAATACAAAATCACACTGATTATAAAAATCATTTAACAGGTTTCTGCACACATCAAATACACTAGAGATGTTTAAACACTCTTCTTAATAGTTTCCCCATTAAGATTTATCTTTCAAAACATCCCTCTTCCCTGGGAGCCGGGCTAAACGAATAATCACTGTTATTGCACTCCCGATCGAAATCGGACCCTCAGTCACCCCACAGAGGTTCAAATCCCAGAAATTGCCTGTTATTTTCACATTATTAATGTTTCATACACATAATAAATTCTGCAAAACATTTCTTCAATCAGTTACAAATCACTAATACTCTACATCATTAGTTCACCATTAATAACATTCATAAACAGGAACACCTTGTTGTTACTGTACCCTTCATTCATCACATTTACTCTTCTCTCAAGTTTCATGCAAATGATCACTCTTGAGATTTGTTACAGAGCATACCAACTCATGCAGTTTGCTGTTTTTGTTTGGACAGACCCAGAATACTTATGAGCAAGCAGATAGTTATCTCAAATTTCAAAAAGTCAGGTCCGTTAATATTTTCCCAATTAAGTAACAGCCGTCACCGAAAATTTTGTTCTCAATTATTTACGGGTTTTCTTTATCCATTTCTATGTAGCTGCTGCTATCATCAAAGTCATAATCAAAATCTTCACCCATGTCAATATTCATACCCTCTTCATTCACGGCCACTCTTATCATCTGCTGGGATGTTGTAGGTGTAATCAGTCTGCCCACTGACCATAATACAAATCTGAATATACATGGCAGACAACATAATATCACTACACCCACCCCCAATACAGGTAACACCACAGTAAAGGCCCAGTAGATCCAGTTTCCCCACTTAAATGACAGCCAATCTAGCTCTGGGTTGCTAACTTTCTTAGGTTCTTTTACGGTCATTCTCATGTGGGTCACAATGTCGGAAATGTTTTGCTGTAATCAGGTTAATTAATGTGACACTAGCTGCAATGCTAGTGTTGTTCTCCTCAGACCACACATTCCTTGCACACGGAATGGATGCCAGCGAATCTTTTCGTCCATCTCCAGATCCTTATGTGATGGTCAAGCACAGCTTATTCACCTCTCTTTTGGTCGTCTTCTCCTCCGTCTGATTGCTGCTTGGTGTTGTATTAAGAAGTTACTGTTTCACACACACCTCTTGAGTTGTTGTTGTTTCTCCCCAGCTGTGACCTTGCTTCCCTCAGATAACACCCTGCTGTTTTCCTTCAGATGGTTTCAGAGCCCCTCTTTCTCTCCTACTCCCTCGTGGAATCCTCCTCAGGAGATGGAATTTTCCTGCAGTGGCCATCATGCACCCACGTTGCCCGCTCTGCGACCTTCACCGCCGTCTCAGTGATCAATAACACTTGAAATGGACCCAGCCAGCGCTTTGCTCTCCAGCTCTTTCTCCTCAGGTCCCTGATCACCACGAAATTGCCAGGCCTCAGACTGTGCAGTGGTCTCTCAGCAGCCTTCCCCTGTGCAGCCTTTACCTGCACACAAACATTGGACAACACATGAGACATATCTTACAGTAATTCAACATGTCATTCTCACACACATCTGTTGAGGGCAGCTGCTGTTTTCCCCCATTCACACCTACACGCGGTGGTTTACCAAAGAGAATTTCAAACGGGCTCAAATTCATTTTTGATCTTTTTCTCATTCTCATGTACATCAGGACAATGGGTAAAGCTTGAACCCATGTAAGCCCTGTGTCTTCACAGCATTTTGCCAATTTGTTCTTCAGTGTACCATTTTCTCTTTCAACAGCGCCTCCTGAAGCCGGATGGTAACTGCAATGTGTTCTCAAATCAATTTCCAAATATTGGCCCACTTGTTTGATTGCTTCATTAACAAAATGAGTACCATTATCTGAACTTATTTTTCGTGGTATTCCCCATCGCGGCACGATTTCAGTCAGTAACGCTTTTGCTACCGCAGCCGAATCTTGTTTTGAGGTTGGAAAAACTTCAACCCATTTTGACCACATGTCAACCATCACCAAACAGTACCTTTTCCTATTGCATGGGGACAATTCAATGAAATCCATCATCAAATATTCAAATGGCCCTGTTGGAGGTGGATTAGATGATTGTGAAACTTTTATCGCTCTGGCCACATTATGTGTGTTGCAAATTACTCATCGTCTACAGAAATTGTCCGCAAATGTAGTCAACCCCTTTGTGAACCACAGTTCATTCATTTGCGCAACCATTGCTGTTTTTGACGCATGATCTTTACCGTGAAGTAATTTCGCATAATGTTGGAAAAAATGTTTTGGTAAACACGCCTTGCCCTCAGCACACATCCACACATCATCTTTCATCACACTGCCAGACTGTCTCCACTTGTTTTTCTTCAGCCCCGTCGCGAAGGTCTGCATATCCTGCAAAGAAGAACACACATCATTGTTATCATCAACAGATAGCAGAGAACATTCAGAGTTGTCCTCGTCTCGGGATGCCGCTACTTTTGCTGCTCCATCTGCCCTGGAGTTACCTATAGAAACAGAATCTTTATTATTAGAGTGCGCTGCGCATTTACAAATGACCAGTTTGTCAGGTAGTAAAATCGCATCCAGCAGCGCTGCCACTAAAGAAGCATTGAGTATTGGTCGACCATCAGACTTTAGAAATTTTCTGTGTTTCCACAGAGCCCCAAAATCATGAGCTACCCATAATGTATATCTTGAGTCAGTGTAAATTGTGGCCTCTTTTTCTGCCATTAATTTACATGCCTCTGTCAACGCCACGAGCTCTGCGGCCTGTGCCGAATAATGCCCTGGCAATTTCCCAGAGGTCACCACATCAAATTCAGTTGTTACAGCGTAACCAACTTTATTCTGGCCTGTTTGTGGATCTTTAAACGCTGAACCATCCACAAAGAGGACATTGTTACAATTTTCAAGTGGTTCGTCAGAGAGGTCAGGTCGTGGTGTACACACCTGTTCAAGTGCTGTTAAACAACAATGATGCTCTTCCCCATCTTCCTCAGTAGGAAGAAGAGTAGCCGCATTCAAACCAGTACATCGTTTAACAGTCACATTTGACATATCAAACAAGATAGTGTGATATCTCAGCCAGCGGGCTGTTGACAGATGCGATGTTTTTTGTTCTTGGAGAATCATGGACACAGAATGTGGCACCATCAGTATCAAATCAGAATACCCAACAAAATCTCTTGAAGCCATAACAGCTTTTTTCTGCAGCCGCCACTGCTCTTAAGCAACGTGGCAGGCCTGCTGCTACGGGGTCAAGTTTGCTCAAAAAATAGGCCACAGGTCGCAGTCTACCTCCATGATCCTGTAGGAGTAATGACGTCATGAACCCACCTCTTTCATCTACCATCTGAACAAATGGTTTTGTTGGTACAGGCAAACCCAATGCAGGGGCCTCAGCCATTTGTAACTTCATGTTTACAAATGCCTGCTGTGCCTCTGTTGTCCACTCTAGTTTGTCAGTGGATTTCATCCCCTTCCCTAATGTTAGGGCTCTCAGGGGTTGTTCCAAAATTGCATAATTTGGAATAAATGTGCGACAATATGAACACATACCCAAAAAAGACAACATTTGTTTTTTTTTTCGTTAGTGGTTTTGGTACATTTTTTATACCACTCACCCTTTTTTCAGACAGAGATTTGCTGTGTGGTGTAATGACGTGCCCTAAAAATGTTACCTTTTGTTTAACAAACTGCAATTTTGTCAAACTGACTTTGTGGCCCTCCTTAGCCAAATGCTTAAGGAGAGTCACAGTGTCTTTCACACACATCTCTTCATTCTCGGCACATATTAACAGGTCATCAACATACTGTAACAAAGCAGTTCCAGCTGTCAGGGTCAAAGGTTCCAAACTTCTTAACAACGCTTCATTGTACAAAGTTAGAGATGCTGTAAAACCCTGACACAGACGTGTAAAGGTGTAGCCTTTACCATTAAAATTAAATGCAAACCAAAACTGGCTGTCTTTGTCCACTGAAAAATGCATTTGCCAAATCAACCACTGAATAAAATTGTGATTTTTCAGGAATTTGTAACAAAATTGTGTACAGATTTGGAACTAATGGAGCCCTTTGTTTGACAGCTGCATTTACTGCTTGTAAATCCTGTACAAAATGCCATTCTGTAGGCATCCCATTATCCCTTATCTTTTTAACAGGAAGAATAGGGGTGCGAACCTCATAATTGTTGCATGGTACAATAACACCCTGTTTCATTAAACCCTCAAATACTCGGGTAATGCCCTCAATGGCTTCCCTTTTCAAAGGATATTGTTTTTGGCAAGGTCTGTAATCAGATTTTGCAGCGATTGTGACTGGATCACAACCTTTGATTAAACCAACATCATACTTGCTTTTAGCCCATAATTCACTTGGTATTTCTGTTAAAGCTGGATGTATGTCTGCAGCGTTAAAGTCAACCATGCAAGAATTCTTTACGCAAACTTTGTCAATAGCAGTCACAGTTCTTGAAACAGCTGTTTCAGTTTCACTGTCCACCCGAAATACTCTCGAGCTCTCGGTCCATTCTAACCCTTTCTCTCTACTCTCAGATAGGCCTAAATCAGCCCAAGACTGATGTTTACCCTTGCAAACTGATATGTGAGGCACAGCCTGTGCTAACATGAGATAGAATGAAAGCTGCTTTTCTGACAGAGACACTGAAACTGCACACAGACTATCCTTTTAGTACATTTTCTCTAAAATCAACGTTTCATTCACATTTGTCTCAAACCAAGCTTTCTCAAATTCCTCATCTGTAAATTACGACATGTGACGTGCAATGCAGTTCACCAAGAGACATATCCATGTCAAAAGGTTTTACTCAATCTTTAGCCAATTTGCAGATTACATCAGCCCATTGATTGTTTTCAATGAGTCTGTGATTCAACCAGCAAACAACAAAATTCCTTCTTTTTTTCCACTCTCACCCCTGAGAAGTCTGCTGTTAGAACTAAGTTTAATTTACACAAAATATCCCCTCCAATGAGTGGTATCAGACATTTTGGCAAACAAACAAATGCGTGGTTGAAAATTTTACCCCCCTCTGTCTCACAGGTCAGTGGAGCTGTAAATCGCTCGATCACTGTATGACCAGATGCAGACAGAGACTCGTGAAATTTGTTTTTCAAAGGTATTTCACACTGTAGGTCACATAGTCGTATGCAAGATCTGCTAGCTCCACTATCAGCTACAAACTCAACCAATGTATTCTCAATCAACATAGCATATTTTGGCATATTTAAAAAATGCTTCACTAAAAAAAAAAGAATGCCATTTCATCAGAAAAATGATCAACATTACTGTGATCAAAATTACAGTGGGAAATGCAAGCTCTTTTTTTTTTTTTTCATTGCAGAGAGCCAAAAGTATGTCAGTGTATGTGAATATGTGTGTATAAAAATGTGTCTGCATTTAAACTTGTTAGTAAAAATATGTTCACTTCCCTTTACTGTAGCTGTTGGCTGCTTGCCCAGACCCTCTCCGTTCTGCTCTTCCCTCTCCGCACATCAGCTCCTTTGTTGGTTCGCGCCTTTCGGGTCAATCCTTGACCAAAAGTCCATCTCTGTGGCAAGCGCAGACATTTGGTACAGTTTCTCGTCATGTACACCACAGGCTCTGCAGATTTCATCGCCATCCGTCACATTCCAGTTTCTCCATCTTCTGGTATCTTTCTCACCCTTGACACCTTTGTTGCCTTTGAATTTGCGATATCTTTGGTTGTCAGGTGTTGGTTGGATCTTTGGTTGGCCACTTGTATCAGAGCCATGCACAGCTCCCTTTCCGCTTTCTTCTTGTCTTGCTCTTGCTTCACTGTCAGCTTGTCTTCAGCATGTTGAGCACACAGCAGAATGTCCGTTAAATGTCCATTTCTCCAGTTCAAACAGATGTCCTCCACTTGCTTGAGGTGGGAATTTTGTTGGTGCGGTCGGAGGTCTTCTGGGATAGTAGCAGTTGAGGTCTGGGTCAGTTCTCAGGGCTCACAGCTCAGCCACGGGATAGTGATGGTACGGCGGTACATGAATGGAAACAGATGTATAGAAAAGATTAGTAATGCTAATTAATCTTTCATTTACACTTTCACATTTTTCACTTGCTTTTTCCTTCACTTTATCTCCTTCATTCTTTTCCCTACATGCCACTTCTTCATTCTCTTCCCTACATGCCAGCTGCCTCTGCAGCATTTTCCTCTTTGCCTCTTATCTGCCTTTTTGAGCCAACAATCAACAGTGTCTCCACACGACACACACACATGCCTTTCACAAAAACAACCTGCTTTTCCTTCTGCCTTCTCAATCGACTCTTTCATTTTGTTTAACCTAGTAACACTCAACATTCCCTTTCCCTCAGAAACTTGTGATACTTTATTAGTTTTCCTATATCTTGCATGCTTTTTAAAAAAAAAAAAAATTTCATATAATTTTTTTTCCATATTCCAAAACACCGGTGTATCATACTTTCTCACCTTACTTTGGGACTTCCCCATGCTGGCAATGATCTTTCCCTTGGACTTTGTCGGTACCTATTAATCTGTCGGACGTCTCCAACAGATTTCGACTTTTCACCTAAAATCGAAAAGTTAAGCTATGCAGCTCTAATTTCGTGGCCCCCAATTTCAACCCCCTTTTAGAAGTAAATCGCTTGGCCCCTGATTTCAACCTCCTTCTGGAAGTAAATCGCACAGCCCGGATTTCAACCTCTTTTTTGGAAGTAAATCGCACAGCCCCCTGATTTCAACCCCCTCCCGGGAGTAAATCGCAGTTAGCTAGCCAAACGTATTAAAAAGGTCTTGATCTTAGTCAGGCGCCAGATCTCACTAGTGTAAGGTCTTGATCTCAGCTAAATGCCAGATCTCACTTGTAGAAAAGGTCTCGATCCCCGCCTGATGTCAGATCTCACTTGTCATTAATCACGCTGCTATCCCACAGAGACAGATCTACCAGCATGGAGATGACCCAAATAGAAGTAAAACCCAATTACTCTTGGTTAAATTAATCAAATCCCCAAAACTTGTTAAATTTCTTTTTCTTTTAACAATAAACAAAGAATTTGTTTCTTACCAGAGAGTTCAGATGCCACTGAGTTCTTTTTCCCAGATGTCAGTGGGGTTCTTCTCCGAGCCCGGCGGTCGGCCCCTCAACCCTCAACCAAGCGGGGCAGGGCTGTGACACAAAGTCCCAGGATGATCAGTCACCGTCCGCAGGGTCCGGAAAAGTTCCTCCAAGACATCCCACTTCTGACACCAAATTGTAGTGGCAATTTCCTTTAAGGAGGCGCTCTCGGTGGTCAAGAAACAAAGTCTTACCCGGGATGTCTTTTCAAAGCTTTTATTCTTTGCAAAGAAGGTCACAGTCATACAGCAACAACAGTTTCTGCAGAGTGAGACAATGAAGCAAAGTGTGCTCATCCTTTTATCTGGGTTGTGCTGCTTACGAGGTCAACTCCAGTTCAACCCAAACCACACATACCACGACAGGTGTGAAAACCATCCTGCTGCTTCCCTGTCATATATCACACAGCCCATGCCCCTTACCCCTAACAAATGTTCATCTTAAAGCCTAATTGGAAAGATAAGGACCAGGTGGTCACATACGGGAATGTAAGGCTGTATAAACAAAAGTACACTGTGAACACAAGTGACTTTTCACACATCTAAAGATGAGGAGTAAGCAAGTTTTCCCTACACATGTTCATCTAAAAATGAATTTCCATTACACTGACTGAGTTTGCATTACTGCTTATTTTAACCTCTGCTGGCTGAGAAAAGCTCATTTTCAACGCCCAATACAGAATGTGATAAAACCAGATCCAGCCACTAAAAAGCATTTTCTTTTTGTTTTAGACAACATTTCATGCACTGTTAAATATGTTTAAGCAAGTTGCAAGTGAAAATCTATGTCTCTGACTGAGTTTGCATTACTGCTTATTTCGACCTCTGCTGGCTGAGAAAAGCTCATTTTCAACGTTAAATACAGAAAGTGATAAAAACAGATCCAGCCACTAAAAATCATTTTCTTTTTGTTTTAAACAACATTTCATGCACTGTTAACTATGTTTAAGCAAGTTGCAAGTGAAAATCTATGTCTCTGACTGAGTTTGCATTACTGCTTATTTTGACCTCTCTGCTGGCTGAGAAAAGCTCATTTTCAACGTCCAATACAGAATGTGATAAAAAAAGATCAAGCCCCTAAAATACATCATTCTTTTTGTTTTGGACAACATTTCATGCACTTGTAAACATGTAAAAGCAAGTTGCAAGTGAAAATCTATGTCTCTGACTGAGTTTGCATTACTGCTTATTTTGACCTCTCTGCTGGCTGAGAAAAGCTCATTTTCAGCGTTCAATACAGAATGTGATGAAACCAGATCCAGCCACTAAAATGCATCATTCTTTTTGTTTTAGACAACATTTTATGCACTGTTAAACATGTTAAAGCAAGTTGCAAGTGAAAATCTATGTCTCTGACTGAGTTTGCATTACTGCTTATTTTGATCTCTCTGCTGGCTGAGAAAAGCTCATTTTCAACATCCAATACAGAATGTGATAAAACCAGATCCAGCCACTAAAATGCATGATTCTTTTTGTTTTAGACAACATTTTTATGCACTGTTAAACATGTTAAACAAGTTGCAAGTGTAAATCTATGTCTCTGACTGAGTTTGCACTACTGCTTATTTTGACCTCTCTGCTGGCTGAGAAAAGCTCATTTTCAACGTCCAATAAAGAATGTGATAAAACCAGATCCAGCCACTAAAATGCATCATTCCTTTTGTTTTAGACAACATTTCATGCACTGTTAAACATGTTAAAAGTAAGTTGCAAGTGAAAATCTATGTGTCTGACTGAGTTTGCATTACTGCTTATTTTGACCTCTCTGCTGGCTGAGAAAAGCTCATTTTCTACATTCAATACAGAAAGTGATAAAAACAGATCCTACCACTAAAATGCATCATTCTTTTTGTTTTAGACAACATTTCATGCACTGTTAAACATGTTAAAGCAAGTTGCAAGTGAAAATCTATGTCTTTGACTGAGTTTGCATTACTGCTTACTTTGACCTCTCTGCTGGCTGAGAAAAGCTCATTTTCTATGTCCAATACAGAATGTGATGAAACCAGATCCAGCCACTAAAATGTATCATTCTTTTTGTTCTATACAACATTTCATGCACTGTTAAATATGTTAAAGCAAGTTGCAAGTGAAAATCTATGTCTCTGAATGAGTTTGCATTACTGCTTATTTTGACCTCTGCTTGCTGAGAAAAGCTCATTTTCAACGTTCAATACAGAAAGTGATAAAAACAGATCCAGCCACAAAAAATCATTTTCTTTTTGTTTTAGACAACATTTCATGCACTGTTAACTATGTTTAAGCAAGTTGCAAGTGAAAATCTATGTCTCTGACTGAGTTTGCATTACTGCTTATTTTGACCTCTCTGCTGGCTGTGAAAAGCTCATTTTCAACGTTCAATTCAGAAAGTGATAAAACAGATCCAGCCATTAAAAAGCAATTTCTTTTTGTTTTAGACAACATTTCATGCACTGTTAAACATGTTAAAGCAAGTTGCAAGTAAAAATCTATGTCTTTGACTGAGTTTGCATTACTGCTTATTTTGACCTCTCTGCTGGCTGAGAAAAGCTCATTTTCTATGTCCAATACAGAATGTGATGAAACCAGATCCAGCCACTAAAATGTATTATTCTTTTTGTTTTAGACAACATTTCATGCACTGTTAAACATGTTAAAGCAAGTTGCAAGTGAAAATCTATGTCTCTGAATGAGTTTGCATTACTGCTTATTTTGACCTCTCTGCTGGCTGTGAAAAGCTCATTTTCAACGTTCAATTCAGAAAGTGATAAAAACAGATCCAGCCACTAAAAAGCATTTTCTTTTTGTTTTAGACAACATTTCATGCACTGTTATATATGTTTAAGCAAGTTGCAAGTGAAAATCTATGTGTCTGACTGAGTTTGCATTACTGCTTATTTTGACCTCTGCTGGCTGAGAAAAGCTCATTTTCAACGTTCAATACAGAAAGTGATAAAAACAGATCCAGCCACTAAAAATCATTTTCTTTTTTGTTTTAGACAACATTACATGCACTGTTAACTATGTTTAAGCAAGTTGCAAGTGAAAATCTATGTCTCTGACTGAGTTTGCATTACTGTGATTTGACCTCTCTGCTGGCTGAGATAAGCTCATTTTCAACGTCCAATTCAGAAAGTGATAAAAACAGATCCAGCCACTAAAAATCATTTTCTTTTTGTTTTAGACAACATTTCATGCACTGTTAACTATGTTTAAGCAAGTTGCAAGTTAAAATCTATGTCTCTCTCACTGAGTTTGCATTACTGCTTATTTTGACCTCTCTGCTGGCTGTGAAAAGCTCATTTTCAACGTTCAATTCAGAAAGTGATAAAACAGATCCAGCCATTAAAAAGCAATTTCTTTTTGTTTTAGACAACATTTCATGCACTGTTAAATATGTTTAAGCAAGTTGCAAGTGAAAATCTATGTCTCTGACTGAGTTTACATTACTGCTTATTTTGACCTCTGCTGGCTGAGAAAAGCTCATTTTCAACGTTCAATATAGAATGTGATGAAAACCAGATCCAGCCACTAAAATGCATCATTCTTTTTGTTTTAGACATTTTATGCACTGCTAAACATGTTAAAGCAAGTTGCAAGTGAAAATCTATGTCTCTGACTGAGTTTGCATTACTGCTTATTTTAACCTCTGCTGGCTGAGAAAAGCTCATTTTCAACGTCCAATACAGACAGTGATAAAAACAGATCCAGCCACTAAAATGCATCATTCTTTTTGTTCTAGACAACATTTCATGCACTGTTAAACATGTTAAAGCAAGTTGTAAGTGAAAATCTATGTCTCTGACTGAGTTTGCATTACTGCTTATTTTGACCTGTCTGTTGGCTGAGAGAAGCTCATTTTCAACGTCCAATACAGAATGTGATAAAACCAGAACCAGCCACTAAAATGCATCATTCTTTTTGTTTTAGACAACCTTCTATGCACTGTTAAATATGTTTAAGCAAGTTGCAAGTGAAAATCTATGTCTCTGACTGAGTTTGCATTACTACTTATTTTGTCTTCTGCTGGCTGAGAAAAGCTTATTTTCAACGTTCAATACAGAAAGTGATAAAAACAGATCCATCCACTAAAAATCATTTTCTTTTTGTTTTAGACAACATTTCATGCACTGTTAACTATGTTTAAGCAAGTTGCAAGTGAAAATCCATGTCTCTGACTGAGTTTGCATTACTACTTATTTTGTCCTCTGCTGTCTGAGAAAAGCTTATTTTCAACGTTCAATACAGAAAGTGATAAAAACAGATCCAGCCACTAAAAATCATTTTCTTTTTGTTTTAGACAACATTTCATGCACTGTTAACTGTTTAAGCAAGTTGCAAGTTAAAATCTATGTCTCTGACTGAGTTTGCATTACTGCTTATTTTTAAGTCTCTGCTGGCTGTGAAAAGCTCATTTTCAATGTTCAATTCAGAAAGTGATAAAACAGATCCAGCCATTAAAAAGCAATTTCTTTTTGTTTTAGACAACATTTCATGCACTGTTAAATATGTTTAAGCAAGTTGCAAGTGAAAATCTATGTCTCTGACCGAGTTTACATTACTGCTTATTTTGACCTCTGCTGGCTGAAAAAAACTCATTTTCAACGTTTAATACAGAATGTGATAAAAACAGATCCAGGCACTAAAATTTTTACTTTTTTTTTTTTGTTTTAAACAGCATTTCTTGCACTGTTAACTATGTTTAAGCAAGTTGCAAGTGAAAATCTATGTCTCTGACTGAGTTTGCATTACTGCTTATTTTAACCTCTGCTGGCTGAGAAAAGCTCATTTTCAACGTTGAATATAGAATGTGATAAAACCAGATCCAGCCACTAAAATGCATCATTCTTTTTTGTTTTAGACAACATTTCATGCACTGTTAAATATGTTTAAGAAAGTTGCAAGTGAAAATCTATGTCTCTGACTGAGTTTGCATTACTGCTTATTTTAACCTCTGCTGGCTGAGAAAAGCTCATTTTCAACGTCCAATACAGACAGTGATAAAAACAGATCCAGCCACTAAAATGCATCATTCTTTTTGTTTTAGACAACATTTCATGCACTGTTAAACATGTTAAAGCAAGTTGCAAGTGAAAATCTGTCTCTGACTGAGTTTGCATTACTGCTTATTTTGACCTCTGCTGGCTGAGAAAAGCTCATTTTCAACGTCCAATACAGAATGTGATAAAACCAGATCCAGCCACTAAAATGCATCATTCTTTTTGTTTTAGACATTTTATGCACTGTTAAACATGTTAAAGCAAGTTGCAAGTGAAAATCTATGTCTCTGACTGAGTTTGCAATACTGCTTATTTTGACCTCTTTGCTGGCTGAGAAAAGCTCATTTTCAATGTTCAATTCAGAAAGTCATAAAAACAGATCCAGCCACTAAAAAGCATTTTCCTTTTGTTTTAGACAACATTTCATGCACTGTTAAATATGTTTAAGCAAGTTGCAAGTGAAAATCTATGTCTCTGACTGAGTTTGCATTACTGCTTATTTTGACCTCTGCTGGCTGAGAAAAGCTCATTTTCAACGTCCAATACAGAATGTGATAAAACAGATCCAGCCACTAAAATGCATCATTCTTTTTGTTTTAGATAACATTTCATGCACTGTTAAACATGTTAAAGCAAGTTG